CTCGGCCTGAAGATCGAGCATTATGCCAACAAGATTCTTGCTTATACTAAGAAAGTATTGAAGCATTTTTATGTCAATTATCGTTAGGCAGTTAAATGACTTTCCGGAAGCATACTGGACTGGACATTATATTTTCCAGATAGAGCTTAGCTTCATCACTACCACTTTGGGATGATATGAGACATATTTAATGCTATCTCCGCATAAAACCATATACGGGCATATTCTTTTCAAGTGAACTTACAAATAGCCCAAGTTTTGTTTGATTCTGGAAATTTCTATGATTTACATAGAGATAGCTCATTGGAAATATATTTGCTTACTCAACTACTTGAATTGTTGATGGCTACATCCCTCACTCAGTTTGAAAGATCTTCCCTCTAGAAGGATAGTCATGAAGATATTAGGGGGAGATATTCATCAGGGGGAGCATCCAGAAGTATGCTATACTGACTGTTGTACTCTTCTTCCTTCCATTAGTTTTCTACCTCACTGGGTTTTCTTCAATGCAAGATTTTAATAAGGCAACCGACATATCATTTGTGGTCTCCAAGGGGGAGTGTTGTAAAGTCAATAATGGAGCCCAAAATGTTAGAACCCACTACTTAATTGATTGAAGAATATTAATGATGCTTGTCTGCGAAACACTTGAGCGAAGCCAAATGCTTATGAGTGAACATCCAATATTTTGGCCTATAAATGGACACCTCCATCAACAGAAAACATATCTCTCCAGAAAAAGGATGAGAGCACACCAAGTGAGAAAGAAAGAAAGCCCCGACAGAGAAGGAAGAAAAAGGAAGAATGAGAGGAGAGAGGAGAGAGAAAAATCAATGAGCCAGTGAGATTGTTAACACTAAAGATGTAGCCCTATTATTTTACATAGTGAAAAGTTACTGCTGTTACTCTCCGGGGACATAGGCATGGCTGCACCTCGTTAAATATTGTGTCTCATTTATTTTACGTGCAGCTCAATATTCTCACTTATTCCAGTTCATTTTACAACAAGATGGTGATTTTGCAATCTCTTCGCCAACCAGAACAACAATTTCAAACAAAGATTTATGGGTAAAGTAGTAAAATGAACTGGAATATGTGAGAATATTGGCTTGACTTGCATTCTTGAAATTCTTTGACTCACTGGTATGGTATCCATAGTTGGACATTTGTTTTCATTATTTAGGAATATGGAAGACATTGCTCAAAGTCTAAAAATATTTTCGAATAAATACTTTCTCAAAAAACCCAATGCTTAGTTGATAAAACAAGAAGTATACTAGTATTAGTGATTAATGTGTGTAGGGCACACTTTATATTTTCGCCCTGGGCCTTTGAAAACTCAGGACCGGCCCTGAAGAGAGATGTTAGTATTCTTCATGTAAAATGTTGTTTGAAAAGTGAAGCATAAGTAAAAGCATGCCATGTCCTAAAATTCTATGTGCCATATCAAATACAAAATGCTTATCTACATGTATTTAACAGATGAATGCATCCCTCCTTCAAGAACATGTCACATGTCAAGAGAAATATTGAAAACAACATTGAATGTAACAAGGAGCAGATTTTAATTAAGGTATTGTTTGGTTGCTTTTTAAAATGTTGGAAATTTTATTTATTTTATTTATCAAATAAAAACTTCATTAGATAAACTTCAGCGACATTAATAAGACATCTAAAATAACAATCCCAAAAGGGCAAAAAACTAATATGCTAAAAACACAACTAACTCGGGCAAAAGCTGCACTGAAACTACTAGCCCACATCACCACAATTAACCATAAGTCCAAACAAAGCCCACAAACCCAACATAACCAAAACCCTAAAACAACCCATGAGCCTAGACGAACCCTACCACCACCACATGATAAAGTGTCGTCGCGGGCACACCCACCACTGCATCCGTAACAGAAATGGGGAAAATATGATTTCCAACGATCTACTTGCACATAAGAGCGAACAAATAAACGAAAACAACAACTTTGTCAAAGAACAATTAGGTGATTTGCAGCAACCTCCGTAAAAAACGATGTATAATCAAATTTAGAGAACATAAGCGACGTCAGTGAGCGGGTTTTGGGAACATGATTTGATTGAGAACATAGACTGAAAGAAGTGATGGAGAACTTCAATCTAACTATGGTTCAAAAGAAACCACCACAAGGGGCTTTTTTTCAAAACGCTCCAGTGAACTTATTCACTAACTAAAGGAAAAGACAAGAAGAGAGGAGGGGGAGGAGTAGTAGTGACGCTTCTTCCTCCTCCCCCTCTATGGAGTTTTCCTTTAGGACTCACAGAGGGAGAGAGCAGCTAGGATTTCTTGGGAGATCACTTGTATGAACTCACTAAAAATGTTGGAAATTGAATTCATTGAATTGAGCTGACCTTAGTTCTTCTGCAAATTCTAAGTTGAGCTGCGTTGCTCAATTTTAAGAGAATTTAAAAAATAAAAAAAATAAAAAACCAAATTACAGGAACCCAAGAACTCTGTTTGTTGTGCTTTATTGTGTTTGTCACCAGTCACAGAACTCATATAAAAGGGGAAGGAGGAAGGGCTATTTTTATTTTCTCCAATTTTTCGATGTGCTTTAATTTATTAAGATATCAAATTATTGGTTTTTTCTTCTTCTTATGCTTCTTGATACTTTGATAGGCTTGACATCCATTTACTAGCAGGTAATAGATATATGGAATTAGTTAGATCACATTGAAGTCGTGAAGGAAAAGAACGAAGTAGACAATGGGCCCGTAGGAAAACTGACTCAAAATATACTAAGAAAAAGAAAAGGCTAAAAAGCACGGGTGTGACCTCTGGCTATAATAAAGAGTTTAGAGTGACTAGTTTATTTGAGGAATTCAATCCCACCATCAACAATCTAAGGAAACGAATGAACTTAAACATTTTAAATGGTTTGATGATGAGATTGAACCCTCAAATAAGCTCCTAACTCTCTGTCCTTATAGAAGAGGTCCCTCTCCAAAGTGAAAACTCAGCTGCTTTAATTAGTGTCTATCTACACAAATTCTGATTCAGATCACCAAAAGTAATTAAATTACCCTTCAGGTCCCTTTCGAGTCAGTGATCTGTTTCTTGCTCAAGATCATATCAAGGGGCTTGCAGATTCCACTGATATCAGCTCACTGATCAACCTACACGTTTCAATTTTGATGAGCGAGAAAGCTTATAATCTTCAGATGGGTTGAAGGCATGACATAAGTAGATACATAATGAGTTGAAGCCGTACTGGTATTTAACAAGCAGTTAATTATGGCTTTGGCCAAAGCCTGCTTTAGACATAATAGCTTTCCATCTACATAAAAAGTAAAACTACAAGATCAATAAACTAAAGACTTAAGGGGAAGAGAAAATGTCCTCCTGGGGCAGCCATGTCTGGTCCACTGAGGCCATAGAAGAAGCTTCCTGTGAGCTGCCCATCAGAGCTTGAAAAGCACTTTTGACCTTGCTCAAGTTCTTGTGGTGACGAATGCGTCGAAGAACAACATCTCTGTCCATGGCAGCAGCAGCAGATGATTTCAGGTAGACATGCCTGGTGATGGAACAACTCTGTGCTTCTGAGAGTTCTTCATGCCCATCTTTCTTCTCAGCTTCTGAGAAAGATGGTTGCTTTTGTTGTGGTGGAGCTTTGGAAATGATGAAAGCCATTTTTCTTTTTCTGGGAGGAAATAATAGTACGTTTGTGAAAGATGTAGGGTTGGGATTATATAATATAGGAGGGTGAGGCAATGTGAGTGCCTTATGGCGTATGGGGCTTGATTTTATAGGAGATTGGTATCGGTGGTTTGGTGGTTTTATTTATTTCATTTTTGTTTCAAGGTTCTCCATGGCCTGTAGTTTTTCTGATCCAATGCAAACCATGGACAATTGTGATTAGCCGACTCAACGGTGAAATTTGATTGCTTTGTTTTTTTTTTGTTTTTGTGTTTTTTTTTCAAGAAGTAGGGTACAATAGTTGATCTTCTGCTCCCAATAGCCAGAGAGAGGTATAGGTGGATTTTTTTTTTTTTGGGTCAGAAGATGATTTTTGTTTATTTTCTGTTTTATTTTTTGCTGCGTCTTATTGTAAAATTAAATCAGAGAGTTATTTGTCCAAATGGAGCCCAATGCAATAGCGGTTTGATTTTGTCAGCCACCTGAGGTGTGACAACTGACATGATCAAGGAATCTACCAACCTTTGCTATCACTGGGTTGGCCCCCACAGCCTTATCCTTGGTCTTTGTAAATTTGTTTTTTAGCAACAAAAATTGTGATCCAAAAAAATAAAAATTATGTATTGAAAGCTCCAAATGCAACGATGTCGGTGAAACGATTTCATATTTGATTCAACAACAATGTAATAGATCAAATCTTGTAAAATGTCATGCCAAATAAATCAAATTAAATTGCTAAAAAAATGGTTGTGGATTTATTTGGAAATTTAGGATATAATTACTTTGTATCTGGTTTTTAACATTTTAAAGTTAAGATTTATTATTATGGTGTTCCAAATAGTGGAATTCTCAAAATTTCATAAATAAAAAAACAAAAAAACTATTTGAGCTTCTGAAACTGTAAATTTAGGATACATTATTAGTTAAATATTGAATGAGCGCCGAGATTTACAATTTGTGAAGATGGGTCCTTCAAGTCAACTGCTGGAGTATCTTTTCCATTTCTTGTTTCATCCAAATCCACAACAAATATTTGCAAGTTGATAAACAACCAAGTTAGGAAACGATGGGCAACTTCAGTTGGTTTGGTTATAAAACTGGGGGCGTCTCTTATGCATTTACGAGGGTGACTTCAGATATGAACTTCCATTTGACCGAAACGGAAACTGCTAAAATAGTACAATATTACTGTACCATTTAGCATTCGTCTAGTTACATTTCTCTTAAGTTTGAATCGCCCCTCCCCAAAAGATTAAAAAATAAAATAAAATACTATAATGTACTGCTAAAATTACAACATATAGACAATTTAAAAGGAGGAAGAAATAAAAAATGCAAACGGGGAAGGAGTTTCATTCGTTGTTCTTGTTATCGAGGAAAGTCAACAAAAAGCCACTGACAATGCGACGGGCTACCGGATTAGGAATACAACGACATAACCTACCATCTATATATGCTACAATGCCTGATAAAACAAACTTCCCAATGCCCCATTTCCAAGCGAACTTAACCCTGGGTGCTACCTCAGCAGGGTTTGCAGGCACAACTGCCTTTGCATTGTCACCCTCCGAATTCCATTTGATGCTGGCGATGAACTTATTCGCTTGCTTCCTCAGCAATCGAATGGCGAAGCTCACGAACAGGTGCTCACATAATGTCAGCACAGTCGGTCCGAGTCTCCACTCCTGTTGTAAAAAGTTTCTTAGTTACTTCTAATGGTTGATGGGGTGAACTCATGTAATGTAAGTGGTGAAATGCAGTAGGTAAAGTGAATTTTGCATGATAGTAATCACAATAGTATATATCTATTCGCAGCTAAGGAAAAAATCATGCAGAACAGAAATGAGCAACAAGGGTTGAGGGGGAAAGGGGGAACACTTACACTTTCACCTCGAAGATGACTCAAGGGGCGAGATGTAATTGAAGGATCTCCTTTTAGCAATGCCTTGCTCACAAGAAATCCCTTCACACGGTCCATAATCTCTTCTATAAGAGAACTGTTCGGGGGTAGGTTTTTGAGGTAAACCTAAGCATACACACACATACATTAGAATCTCAAGTAGAATACTTTCTGGCAATGAAACAAAATTCAACTAAAAGATTTGCAAGTAGAAATGTTTTCTGTTGCTAGAATTCAAATAAACTTCACTGCACACGGACTCGCCCATCATTACCAAACAAAGATTTCATGTGACCCTAACGTAAAATGTGTGCCAAACTTCAACACTATAGCCACTAGACAGAGTGATAAGTCCTAAGACCAAGATAAAAACATGCATGAATGGGGTTTAAATTCATATCCATGTATGCCTGAAAAACTTTCGGATTTATTTTAAGATTACCTGATTGTCGATGACCCTGACTCTCAAATATTCTTGTCTAAACACTGTGTCCAACATGGCTTGCAGGTAACCTTCAATATATAACTGCAGTAGTCCAAAAAAACCGATTGGTGATTAATCTTCAAAGGACAACATTTCATTCTAAAAAGAGTTGCTCTTTATTGGTTTTTGGTATTTCTTCTAATAATCTTTATAGTATTTACCTATCGATATTCACAACCTAAACCAGAATGCAATTTCAGTAAGTTACTAGGTTCAGAACTACACTGTTAAGAGGCGGAAAGAAAGGCAAGGGAAGGAATATGGCAAGGTTGTAATTTTATTACAATTTACGATCAGGCATAGCTATCATTACCATTACCGTTAGAATTTAGTACTCATTGCTTCACCAAATTGAGTCTGATCAAACTTGAGATTCAATATAAACTTTTCATAGAAAGTAATTCTATAACTCGTAATCAACTGAACTTGTCCTACTCATCTCCATTTGAATTTCAACTCGTGTCTTAACCTCATTTTCATATTAGTTCTCACTGGCGGATTCGTGTACGGGTTCAAAATGTTGGCACAATTATCAAAACCAGGTATTTAAGCCTGCTGGCATTGCCATTCTGGTATCAACTAGTAAGCTTATGTCATAACAGCTGTGCCCACATAGAAACTTTACAGCCTGAAAGCTTCCCATGTAAATGCCCCCAATATAATGTTAGAATTCTTACCAGAGGAATTTGAAAAAGGTATTACCTCATCAGCCGCAGGACTCCGGTCAAGCTTAATCTTTCTATCTGGGCCACCTTCCATCAAAGCGGTCCCCAGTAATGATGGCTCCATAGCCAATTTCAATATTCCTTGGTGAAATCCAGTCACCTTGAAAAAAATACCATTACAGCCAAAATGTGTCATTTCTTATTCAGATGTAACCAAACTAAGTGTGCAGCTGGTAATGTTAAGATTAATCCTACCACTCCGTTAAAACCACTTGCTTCTGCACCCTTCAAAACAGAGTCTGATATTTCAGTGATCGCAGCAAAGAGTACATTTGACCCCGCTGTTCTCAACTGTAAAGCCACCATAAAATTGATAGTTGGGTACGTCTAGGAGTTTGCAAACGTATCGGTAACTGAAAGAATATAAAACTTACAGATTTTCCTAGATCACCAAAATAGCGTTTTGTCCCTGAGAACCCGTTACCATCAATACATTTACTGATTAACTTGAAGGTACCTGATCCATAATGCCAAAGCAGGAAAAAAAAAAAAAAAAAAAAAAAAAAAAAAAAAACATATTTCAAGTCAGATATAAAACAGAGGGGACAAATGACACAGCAGAGACAGGACCGGACATAGTTATTCAAAAGACCTAAGTGCTTATATGGATGTGGAATTACAAGTTCACTCAGATAGGAAAAGACAGGCAAAAGCAATCAACTTGATACATCTACCAGACCTGCAAATGCAACAATAGCCAACATGCATTTTATTCTAATAACGATCCACAAAATGCAAAAATACATAGCTCGAAGGTGATACTAAAATCTTTAATATGTTAGGCTTAATTCTGATTCTCATGTTGTCAATCACCTGTTAAGGTGAACTCTCTGACCTGTATCTTTGGCATACATTTCTACTCAATTCAAAGGATTTCACAAATTCCGTTACAGCTCAAGAAAACCAGAATATTATATGAATGTAATTTGGATGCACGTCTTAATTCCTCATGACATGTCAAAGGCATTTTGATCTTTGATCCTCACTTTCAAACAAATCCCTGAAAAGAAACTTTAACAAATTTGTCTTTCCATGCACTCATCTGTTAGACCCCAATCCCAGAAATGAAATCAAAATAAAAAAATAAAACAGAATTTATATTTTTTAAATGTCAAAGAAATACCACAACCAACCAACAAAAACCCAATCACTGGGCAACTAAAGTAAGAAACAAACAGGAGCCACAGGGGAGAATAGAAGGAAAAGAGGAACAACAGAAAAAGAATAATCAAAGAACTAAAAGTGTGAAAGGCATACCTAAAGTCAAACCTGGAAGATTTTTTAACCCACGGGAAGGATCAAAGAAGACATCAAGAGAGGATGAAGCCAAGTCATCAAAGATTGACACAAAATCTGGTGGAAGCAATGGACTTCCTTTTGCAATATAGATAGCCCTCATGGCATACCTAATAATCAATTTAGTGCTCAGAAATGAACAAGCATCCTACATAAATCACAAAACAAGACTGAATATGACAGGTTTACCATGAATAATGTTGTGCACATTTGATAAGTAATTCACGCATCGTTATCAGAGCATGAGTGACCATAACGCCGTTGAGCTCTACAACCTTATTTTTAATCGCAGGGACCTAAAGAAATACAAGAATAGGGGAAATAAATAGATGGAGAAACACTCGTGAAATCCAAGAAAGACAAAGTGATTTAAACATTTTAAGTGTAAGAAAAGAAAAGTTCCATAAGCATCTTGTGACACCTTTACTACACTGTGCAGTAAGGACCTTAGAGTCTCCTCAGCTGAACTGTAACTTGAATACGAGTCCCCAGGAAGAAAGTTCGCAAAAATCTACACAGGACATACAAACACAGGTCAGTTGCCATAGTATACTATAGATAAGGATGACCTTTTTATAAGCATAATTAAGACAATCTATAAAGGAATAAAATGAAAAGCATCTAACCTTTATCGGGTGAATCTCAAAATGATCAAAATAGTATTGCTGACTCTTGGAGTTACTAAGAGATGTTCTCCAAAATGGGACGATTTTCATTAATGTCTCCTCATCAAGATTTAAATCCATTGGCTGTGGAATACAAGACCAAGTCACAAATTCAGAGCTGCTACAGCCAAAACAGTAGCGGACATACTACTATCAAATCTAAAGGACACCAGCTGACATCTATAGAAGCAAACAGAACAAAAGGAAAGGAAAAAAAAACACATATACAAAGGCTTAAGAAAAAAGAAGAGTTTAACATAAACGATTAGGTGTAAGGTGACTGATTTTACCTGCAGAGCAATAGATGAGTATTTAACTTGTACGACATTGGAGCTGGTTGAAAGGAAGACAACAACAATTTTGAGTACACAGTCATTTGAGTCATTGTAGTCGGATTCATGTCTACGAAGCATTGCTGCAAACGGAGCCCCCACCCACTTGGGCTCCAAATTCACTGACTGCATTGATTTCAAGAAGGCACCACAGCAAGCTTATTTAAAGAAAAATGTCTAAACAAGCGTTGTATTAAAGCCCTTGAAAACAAGAAAAGAAAAGAAGATGACAGACCCTCAGTAAGTCAACAAGCATATAGAATAATACCTGTACACAGATCTGGCTAAATTTTTGCTCATGAGTAAAGAGAGAATCAAAGTTAATATTCCCAATTCTAGCAGCTAAGATTGGTGTGTAAGCTGATGGCTCCATATCATCTCCATCCTTCAGAATCAAATTGTCAGATATGTCACTCAGTTGAACATGGTTAAGAAAGATGACACTGACACTATAAATAGATATGGTCTCCATGTAAAACTCAAAAGGCAAGACCCTCGTTGCATATGCTCAAGAATAATAAAGTGAAACCTGAACACTGTCTAGTAAGAGATAATATTTTCATATTGTCATTCATACTAAAAGCTCGCAATTGAAGTATTTTCTAAGACACTGCATCCTAGCCTCCACACATGCACGTAGAAAAACTCAATATGAAGCCATTCCTTTATTTTTTCCTCCATGTGTATGTGAAGTTCAAAAATTTCAATCAGTACTGGGTACAAGAACCATGAACTGAAGGAAATTCAGCAATAAAAGTCTAAGTTCCAACTAAAATATAAATATTAAAATTCACTGGTTGACTGGATTATTTCTTTAACTTATCCTTTGACAAAGAAAACTGCAAACATAATACAAATGTGATTAAAATAAAAGGATCCAGGCAGGAGGTTGCATAATATCAATAAAAGGAAGTAGGATAGTAGGATAGTAGGTAATACGGTGACCTAAGCGTTCAATATGACTCTTTTACTTGCCTTCTTTTCATGTTCAAGTAGGAGGATTGTGAATTGTGGAACTCTTAGTTGAATCTTCTCACATGAATGAAACATTTTATCTCCCTTGTGGCTCCTGGAAATCTCACAAAATCTCAAAACCCGGGTTGGACCGTCTGCATATACTTCGTACCCCACCTTCACCATCTCCATGGCATTTAACTCACCAAAATCAATCCTCTGGTCTACTGATCTTTTTCCCAATGGTAAATGAGATGCCAACCCACTCTGTTGCCGTAGTTTGTAGAAAGGCTTCCATGCCCGTACCTTATCCAAGTTAATTTCACGTAGTAGAAGACTATCTACAAGAAAAATTAAGTAGTTCACTAAGCTACACATTCAATATCAATAACGTTGAAAATAATGAACTAATGTGATTCATAAATTATGGGTACCCATGCTACAGGGATCCTTTAAACATTTTGTCCACATTGCACGTTGGTATGGAAATATTAAAAAAGCTCACTTCCGTCCCATAATTCAGCACAAAATGCATAAGGAAGCTTTTCTTTTCTAGAAAGAAAAAAAAAAACACGAGAGATCTTGAAATGCATGAGAACACAAGTTTTTAATAGAATTAAGAAGTGTTAAATAAGTCATTTGCAAGCTTCATCTCTATGTTGATTATGACATGAAGTACGAAACAAAAATTATCATTTGCAATCTAATGAATTACTTCAAATTACTTATACAACACAAAAAGAGATTAACGGCTACCATTGATTCTGACAACCAACTTATGCGGAAGAGTCAAATCATCCCAAACATAATCAGTAACACTTTCAGATCCAAGAATCTCTGGCTCCAATGAATCCTGGAAAATTCAAGTAAATAATGAAAAGGAAAATTAACACACACATAATGGTTACAACCTGTATCTAATAAATTAGTAGTTGAGAAAATGTAACAGAACAACCTTCTGGTAGTAAGTTATAGATACATCATGCAAGCAATTCTCAATCCGATATGGTAGACTGACATTTGGAGGTTTATGGAAGCGTAAAACAAGAGTAGAACCTTCTTCCACAACATGAACAGCAGCGAATTCTGTTACACTGCTTTCTAGTGCTGTCACTTGGTCCATATGAGGCTTTTTGAATTTGAGGAAAAATCTTCCTAGTGATGCAATGCATACAGGCCCTGACCAACTTAATTTAGACTCATTCAATTGAAACTGAAGATATATTAGTGAATCATCATTAACTTTTCTGTGCTTTTTCATAATGTGCTCAAATAAACTGAAATCTCTCTTCTTGTTCATGCCATCCTGCAGCTGTAGAGTTGCCCTCTGCTTACTGTTTATGGGGATCATGCCCACTGAGTCATCCTTTCACAATTAAAAACGAGATAATAAAGTCAGAATACAATGCCAAAATAACATAAAAAGCATTAAATAAACAAACAAACAAATAAAAAGGACATGTGTTAAGAGAAAAGAAAAGAAAAGAAAAGGACCCTCCAAGAAATAACATTGAGAGCAAACCTGTAAATAACATTGACGAACTATGATACGTTGTTCTGACTCATTAACTACAACATGTCTTGGGACCATAGTTACTACTTGTGATGGTATAACCACTCTACTCAAAGGTGGTCCCGTGGAAACCCCAAGCTTTGTAATATATTTGACTCCAGATCCTTCCTCGACTTCCAAGCTTATCTCCGCAAGGCCTGATAAAGCATCCAAGTCGATCAGTGTCTCAGATGCATTATCTTCTAGCAATTTGACACACACTTTGTTGGGTCTGAAAACAGAGGGCACATAAGATGTCCATAAGGCAATGACATAAAGGGATACCTGTAAAAATCATGCAATTAAAAAAATACATTAACAATTATTTATCTTACTTTAAGAACCATGATCTGGTTGTCTTTGGAGGCAAATATGATCCAAACTCTGGAGGAATGCCCGAACCATAGTTCTCTGCTTCATCCCTGCACATAATTTATGGCTATCAAGTAGGCAAGATAGAGAAGTGCTCATCAATATAGAGGGACGAAGGGACTACCTAGAAAGAGGCCTCTTATTAGGCACATAGAAATAAAGGGTAAACTCTGTGTCATTTCTCAGGGAATATGATGTGAAGATAGCAGCCTGCAAATGGGATATAGAGATTAAATCCAACAAGATATGAACCAAACAAATTAGCCATATGATTAGCACACGTGTGCAGAACTCATACAGCATGCAGAACTTTAAATGAACAAATCCAAAATGTGTGTAATGCCCTGTTTACTAGATATACATCACGAATGTAGTAGAAACTGACAGTCATTGGATAACAACCTCTAATGTTCCCCTGTTCCCTCGAGACAATCTTAAGGAAGCAAAATACTTGCCCCCACCAAAATCCAGATCAATGTCCAAACAAGGGACATCACTTTTCTGCTTCTGTAACTTTTTGATCCAGTCACTGCTGTTCACTGGTCTGCAGCTTGAATTATAAGCAGTCAAAGTAACAGTAAAGTAAATTATGGAAGGATTGGCATAAAATTCGACCATTGAACCACATGATATGGTTGATTGATTCCTGTCGTTGTCAGACCCAACAGTGTAACATCGATCTGCACTGGGCCAAATAATGTAACTCAGAAGCTGTAAAGTAAAATAACTAATGATAATCCCAGAAGACTCCCTTTGCTTACCTGATTCACTTAAAAATACATGTACCTCCGTGTGCAACAAATTGGATACGCGTACTGTAGGAAGAAGATAAATATCCTTTTGCTCTTGAAATGCAACTGGTGATTTGTTATTTTCGAGGACATCTGTAGACCGATTAGGTTGTACAACAGGAACATTTCTCCCAATACTTTGAACCAGAAAATGCATGTCAGAAATACTGGCCCCTTCAGATTTAAGGGTACACTGTGCAGTGCTGAAGGAACATTTCACCGACTCTGTAAACAAAGCATTCCGCACTCTGTAGCTTAATCTATCAAAAATTCCAGAGAGACGAACTGCCTTTCCACCTTTAAGATCATCTGACCATTCCACTGAAAGTGAATTCTTGGAAGTCATTAAGCCATCTGGAATTTCAGGTCTAAAAGACAACAAGAAGTTACCTGCATATCAGTCACCATGAAGTTTTCAGGGCAATAGTAAGCATCAAACAAGATAATGAAAAAAAGAATGTGGAGGAAACATTGCATGTCCTAGCTGTTGGACTATAGATCAGAGGAAAAGAGCAATGGCAACAAAATATATTATGCCCTTAGTAGGTTAACATGTCTATATATACTTTTAATAGCTAGAAAAAATCTATTGGCATCAAGCTTAACGCTCGAAAAGAACCAGTTAAATCAGACCAGATACCATATTTCTATTCTGACCAAAAAAAAAAAAAAAAGAGTCCGCATTTCTGCAGCTAGAGCAGAAATAACAGAATAACACTGTGATTGGCCTCACAGGAGCCTAACTTTCCAGGTAAGGTTGCAATCTGATTATGAGGGCTGTCACTTTATTCTTCACTTGAATTAAGTGAGAGGTGTTAAAGGATATATGCAGCATAATATTCGTAGAAAGCATTCTACTACTGCCCATATATGAGAGGAAAACCAACACAGACACAGTAAAAGAGTTTGCCTCCATTAACTAATTATTTATGATTCAAAAGTGATGTAAGACAAAAGAGTTATACAGTTAAGACTAACTGATTGACATTATGCATTTAATACCAAACTTTTGAAGATGCTCATGATAATGATGATTATGGAGGCATGCTAGCTAAGAAATATATAACACATGGACTCAAGTAGAAAGAAAATGAGATTCTGATTTAATTAAAATAACTGACATTGAGAACACATACCAAGACCTAAAGACATCAGTGCCTTCTTTCTTCCACCAGAAAGATTTAGAGCATCAAACATGGCCATGGAGTCATCAATTGTATCACCTGCATTTAGCATCACTGAAGCAAACTCATCTTCCTTCTGCTGAGCTCGTCGAAATCGTAGCTCCATAGGGAATCCAGTTTCATTATGTATTCTTATCAGAGGAGAAATAACAATTGACAAACCATCCTACAAATAAACAGAAACTAATAAGCAAAAAAGAAAATATAATCAAAATAGTGTGAGCATCTCTATTATGAACTCAAGGAAAAGCAGAACAATCGATGAAAATACCTCAGATTTTCTTGAAACATCAACAACAACAAATGGGCCAGGGAAACTTTTTGAATCTGTTCAAGAAGGAAAAGAAGTAAAAAAAACAAGGAAAATGTAAATCCAAAGACAGGAAACTTAAAATGGAATTCTGAAATTATCACCAACTAGGAAACTCATTTGTTATTCAGTTCAAAGTTGAATTGTTTCTCATTTCTTTTAATAAAATTTGAATTTCCAAAAAGAAAAAAAAAATAGAAAACTAACATTTAAAAATTAGTTAGTTGGTGCAAATTTTGAAACTAAGCCAATTGGATTAAGAATGCAAGTAAGTTCATCATAATCACATAAAGCTAATGCCTTCGACCAATCTTAGCCTAACTCTATCCAGTAAGTTTGATATTAGAGTACTTCTTTGATGAATTGGCTTTATCCATAAAAACTTCTGTATCTGGTAAAATTAATGCATACAAACGCACTTGTACGTTAGTATGACCAACCCATTCATATTTTCTACATTTCAGAAAACTTTAGAAGCGTATTTCATTTCTCCAAAAACCTTGTAGAATTTCCGTCCACTATGTCCATCAAGTTTAAGAATTTATTCTCCACCTTTAGAATTTATTTGACTTCAAGAACCAACTTTATAACCAACTTGGACAAATGAAAGGAGAAAGAGAATTCAATTCCATTTTACCAAGAAACATAAAAGTTCAGGCCGTATCCATATGCTCGTAATAATAATCAAAGCTACTTTATTTCAATTAATGTATGACGGTCATTCATATAGTTTGTTTTAAAATTCATAAATTATACATTTCCAAATACTCTAGAAGCATATTTCACTTCACCAACAACCTTGCAGAATTTCCATCCACTATGTCCATTAAGTTCAAGAGTTTATTCTCCACCTTTACAATTTATTTGACTTAAAGATCGAACTTTATAACCATTTGCACAAAAATATAATTTGATTCCTTTTACTAAGACAACATAAAAATTTCAGGCTGTATCCATAGGAGAGAATAGAGCATACCTTGAAGTGACGTTATTTGCGTTTTCCAAGCAACTACTTGAGCTTCTATGAGAGAGACATCAATTGATTTAGTCACAAAAGATCTAGGAACTGCAAGTTGGATTGAAACAACTGAAGCAATCTCTGGAGGTTGATTTGCCAAATCCGAGCACCTTACAGTTAAGTAATAAATAAGATCAATCATTTTCTTTTTTGATACAATCCCAACTTGATTAATAAAATAGAAGAAAATCCAAGTAAGGTGGATGGATGAGAAGTCCATCAAATCTAGTTCAACAAAGTCAACCAATAACACATAATAGCACCCCAGAAGAATTAGACTAAAAGGAATGTCTTTAAAATGCTTTGACAAATAAGCACAAGGGAGAATTAGACTATCTCAAAAAAATAATTAGGATCACTCAATTTATCACATATATTTAAAATACATTGACATGAATGCAGACCAAAGTTTGCGTAAAAAGACCCTATAAGCTAAATTTAAGACTTTCCAACAATTAATAAACTTTTTGATTAATTGACTTAACTATGTGTTCCTAACGTCTTATTTCGTGGTGCAAGATATCAAGAAAATTAGAAGCGATAACATATGTCAGCCTGTGTCCTGAGCAATCCCATTACTTCACCATTGAAGTCACAAGCAATTCCGAAAATAAGCACACAAAACAGTTCAAAATTTAATTAAAACGTAATCAACTTCATACAATAACCTAATCAGTGTTCTAAAACATGAAAGCATAGAGCAAGGCGTTGTATGTCCAACAAGGCGAGGCGTAAGCCTCAAAGCGTTGAGGTAGAAGCTTTTTGAGACTCAAAATTTGTACAAGAAAAAAATACATAGAAAAACCAATTGAAAGACAATCGCTCCTGCTTGTCATCCAGCCCTTCTTCTTTTCTTTCAAAAATACATATCAAACATTTTAGAAATTGCCATCTTCAAGCCCTCACACCAGAGCTAGTCGCTCTGCTATCATTCGTGCGGGTACGGTTCTCTCTCTGCCTCTCTCTCTACCTCCCCCTTTCTCTCTCTCTCTCTCTCTCTCTCTGAGAACAGTATGCTCATTCTCTCTTAATAGTCTATTCATTGTCAACCGGTGATGCTGACTGATCTCACCAGATCTTCCTCAAGATTTTGCCATTAACTGATGGGTTCTTTAGATTTGGGAAACTTGGGTTTTATGGGTTTCTCGGTTCGAAAGAGAACTGTTGCAGTGATGCATTGGGTGGGTAAGGGAAAAATCTGCTTAGCCCACATAGCGTAAGCATCATGGAAAAAGTGTAAGATATGTAACAACGCATACGCTACATTGAAAAGCATACACTATTCGGGAAAAACTGAAACTGAATGCGCTACGTCAAAAGCAGCCACCACCACGCTCTAAAGTGCGTCGGACCCACTATTTTTTTAAATATGGAACCTAATTACTTGATTTGCCTCCATTCAAGACTTCAATGATAAGGCAAAATTAACATCGATGTCTAGCATACCAAAAGCCAAACTTCACCCATGCAAAAGGATTCACATGACCAGTGTCGCATGCCTTAAGAATGCTAAAGCAATATTAAATTTACAACATAAGTGCCACACCCCATGTAAACTCATCATAACAACTTCCGAAATGAGAAATGTTTGATACATTCTGCATCTAGTTTACTGGAGATTCAGAACTTTCTCATTAATATAGAGCTCAAAACATGGTACACTATCATTACAAAAATGGAAAATTTTGTTATGATATGTCATCTGATTCTGCCTTGAAAATGTGGATTAGTATAATTCATATTACGATGAGCTACCTTAAAATAACGGATGCAGACTGCATTCTAGAAACTGTTACACTTTGCTTGTCAAAGAAGTGACAGAGAAGGTCTGATCCTGACTGGTTCACCACCTGCCAGTGTAGAAAAATTGTAATAAAAGCCACAATCAGGATTGGATTTGTTGCAAGAAACTACAACAACAACTAAAAACTATAGAGGGAGGGGAGCAAAGTAAAGAGAGGGAGGGCAGCAAAGCAGAGAAATGACGAACAGAAAACTCCACTTCAATGACAAGATATTGTTTGTGAAGTCAACAATAATTTATAAATAAGAGCTACTTACAAAAGATCCAATAAAAGTTCAAACCAAAGCCACCACAAACGAAGGACCAGTTATATGTGGCACCAATAGCAACACCTATTCCATTAATAATGTTCTAAAGGTATCCCCTAATGGTAACATGAACTTATGAAGTCTGTGATTCCAGGAAATTAAATGTAAATGCTAAGCTCTCAGACATCTTAAATTCTCTACATGCAGTAGGACAAATTCCATATCAATATCCAAATTCCCGACCCACACTACTGCCTATCACTAGTAATCCAAATGGAATTTGTATATAAATTCATGAACAATGAGGTTGATGGTTTATTAACCAAAGCATCTGGCTATTAGCAATTCATCAGAAGATTTATCAATTGGACTCCATTGGAACTCATGGGCTGCTAACCATAACAATAAGTTACCCAATAATTCACAGCCTCCCAGAATTTTTTTACACTCACTTAGTACAACCGTATGTGAGCAGATGTCAGTTCATGAAATTTAGGCAAAAGATTAGACAACACAAACATATTGTCAACTGTAACATGTTGATAAACTAGGATCTCACTCTCATAAGGCAGGTGATTGGCATAGAAACGAAAACTATTCTCCACAAGATACATGCAGGCCGGAACATGGATGCATATGAAATTCATAGTTATTGCATATTGACATATAAGCAAAAGTTACAAGCACAGTGGCAAACCTTGCAGCAATTGGCCCAAATCTTATTGCTTCTCACCGAATAAGGACCGGCTAAATTCAATTTCCCAATCACATAGAGAAGTATGTCCAGTGAAAGCTCGGAAAGGGATATATTCAACTGCAAATATTCCATATGAACACTTGGTTAAAATCTGGATATACGTAGGCAAAAGGGTGCTTACTTCGCCTCTGTTTTCTTTGTTTCATTGTATGGGTCCTTAATGACAAAATCATTCAAGAAACCAGAATCTTAACCTCTTTAGTTCTGCAGTGGATATGAACAGGTACTCCATGCGAAACAGCTTGTGATCCCTGAAGTTGGAAGCTAGAACGATAGAAAAGGCATACTTCAACTGGGTGGAGAAGTTCTCTCCTACATTTCAAAAACAATGGAGGAAATGTACTGTAAGCTAACCAAATACAGAGTAAAAGCAACCCATTACAAAATAATAGAATCTGTACAACTTTATTCAGCATAAATACTCACCATAAGTTTTTTTGTGCATCAAAGTAATGTAGCACTGCAGTTGACATGCTTATAACCCTAGTTTTAGAAGGGAGAATTTGGACAGTAAGTTTGGTTTGGTCAATACAACCACAAAGGAGAGGAAACATGTCTTCTGTATGTACAAGTTCATGGAAAATGGTCAAAGAAATTTTGTCAAAAGTAACATCAATGCAAGGGAGTTTTCCACTTCTCACAGAAGTGTTCCCGTCATCTCTGAGTGCATCATGTTGCAGACTAGTTCCAGATGCCTCCCCAGGGTAACTATCCATCTTTATGTCACGAGCTACAGAAGCATTATGGAACACTTTCAACTTGAATGGATTTCCAGGCTTCCTAACAAACTCTGGAATTCCATCTACAAAGGCAACAGCAGAGTCACTCTTCTTGTTCAAAAGGTAAAAGGTCCTTTGAACCAATTGAATGTTGGGCTCCCAGTCAATGTCACCCTCAGAATTCTCAGGCTCACAAGAAATTGCTTTCCAAAGTGCCCACCCATTATCATTAGCGCTAGATAAGTCAACAAAACCAGATCCTGGACGGTAGTTCAAGCGCAATGGCTCCCCTAAATCATTCTTAGCATACAATGATATCAAGGAGAACCACGAAACTGATGACTTCCATCTCCCTTGGTTGTGATACTTGACCTACACATGAATTTCAGTATAGATGGCACATATCATGGAGCAAAACCATAAAGATAAAGAAGAGAAATCAATAAATAGAACCAAAAAGTTGTATCAAAGCTGAGTAGTCAATTGCATAATGTCATAATTGCTTAGTTAAAATCTTCATTTGTAATAACTCTTTTTCAGTTTTTTTCCTTTTTTGGGTAAGGCTTCATTGATTACTTGATGTCATGCTACTTAATCTATCACCTCTTGTTTCTACGCTGCATTTGTCAGTCATTCAACTTTACAAATTGTATCTATCTTCCCACCTTCTGCCCTTAATTTTCTTCTTCTTTTATATCCTTACCATTCACCAGCTTTATCAGTGCTTATATATTTCCTATAATTCACATTCATATGACTTGTTTGTTCCGGCCTAGCACAATGGCTACCTCGACCTCTATAAGGATACATTACAGTATCCTTGATAAAATAACTCAAACTTAGGACCTATATTTACAGAAAAACAAAAACAAAAAAGACCCAAAAAATAGGGCAAAAGCCACATAGCCGAGCATCCCGTCCGGATAGTGAATGCACATAAATTATCAGGTTTCCCTCTCAAAATACAAAACTAAGAGAACGACCAGAAATTTGTGATTTTGGTATCAGTATTTTGAACAACATGCTTGGAATATAATATTTTAGTAACAAACTAGCTGCAAACCCATGTCATTATGCAGAGAGCTACTTAGAAGTACATATTTAAGTACACTTTCTTTCTTTTTTACTTTTTTGAAAATTAGTATTCATCGTGATCTAGCCAAAGAAATGTGAAGTGTCAAAAATACCATACCCTGAAAAGAGCCCTTTCTCCAACAAGAGAATAATGAACTACACCCACTAAATTGAACTTATTCTCCTCGCCCTCAACGGTGAAGTACATGTGTTGATGGACATCCTGAATTGCAACTATTGCACCTATACAGAGTAAAATATCTGTTAATCAAGTCCTCTCAGATCTGCAAGCAAGAGATGCTTTGCATCTTGGAAAGCTGTATACCGTTAGGAATCATCGTCTCCAAACTGTTTTTGAATTCCTCATTACTTGACTGGTGCCTTCTATCCGGTTCACTGATCATCTCCTCTTTGAATACCCCAGAGAAAGATGAAATCATAGACAAGAGCATCTGATGTAAAAAAAAGCAGAGTAGACTGAGTGACACATGACTTAGCAATTGTAAGGCACAAACAAGGTAATCACATGTTTTAATACTAGACAACGCAATAGCAGGATGAACCCATTTTCTAAAATAATATATCAAATTTAGAAAGAACCAGAGAAATATAGACTTGCTCACCTGTATTTCAGACAGAGATATTGTAATATCAAAACATGATATAGATCCACTTCCAACCCAAACCTCGTTTAAGCACAAAGAATCATTTAAAGGCTTCTCAACTGATATGACGGCACCTGCATGCTTCAGGATATAATTCTGATGAATTGGACGGAAGGCCTCAGGCAGAGAATTATGTACAGAAAACTCTTCCTGTGGTCCAGGATCTCTTGAACAGCTTGCATCATTAACAGGATGAATCCTATCCCCATGATGAGAAAATTCAGCAGAACCTCCAGATACAACATCAGACGGAAAAACATTTGATGTGACAGAAGAAAAATGAGGAATTTGGATTTCATTTTCCACAATTTCTTGAAAGGCCTGAGAAAGGATTGACATGCGAGACAGATCAAATACGAGTTTTCTTCTCATGTTTGTCACATGAAAGTTCAAATGGAGATCAACCTCAAGCACAAGTTCCTGCATACCACCTGCAAACATAAACTAACTGTTTACATACATATATAGTAACTCAGCATCTGTAACATACGGTGGAGAACAGATGCATATACCATGTTCGTCTTCAATCATAAGAACACAAGAAAAATGAGAAATATTTAAGATGAAAGCTTCCATCTGTGTGATTTGGGCCTGTTGAGATGTACAGTGAGTCTCTTGCATATACTCCTGAACAGAATGATCATTTGGTCTGGTTGTATCCACAGATATTTCAGCTTCTTCGATGTGTTCATCAGATGATTGTAAACCAGATAAAAGATTTGCGAAACAATGAAGATACGAAGCAAAACAGTTGACGAAGGTAGCCAAAGCTGTTATTTCAAGGAAAAGAAAACCACCCTGGAAAAATTACCAGATTTCCATTACTGGAAAAATTAGAAGAACTGATTGCTTAAATTAGAAATACAGGGACTCAACTGAAACTTAATCCAAAGTTAAACGAGTAAAATGTATTTAAACCCAAGAAGTATAAAGAAAACCATTGATCCCTCTCTAATTCACACAAAAACAAAAACAAAAATATCACCTGAATTTCACAACAGATTGTTTGAAATTCACCACCAACAGAAAGTGATGACAAAAACGTATTTAGCTGATGTGCCCCATTCATAACATTCTTTGCTGAGTACCTTCCCATATAAATATTACCCAACACAACATTTATCAGTAACCAATGACCTGAGCCCGGTGGTGGTACATTTGAAGCAAATTCTATATCCTGAAGAAATCTACAGTCCTGACCATTTGAACTTTCAGAATTAGTGGTGAATGGAAGATTTTCCACGTGCACTGTTTTACCAACAGAAGTAGAGGTACCAGGTGCATTGCTAACATTATCTGAAGATAGGTAATTCTGAGAGAGGGGCAGTGAAAAATTGAATACAGAACTAGAAAGCGATAGTTCATATAAGCAATCACAAGATTGCAATAGCAGATCACTATGATCAGTACTTTTTCCCTTCTGATTCTTATATCTAAAAATTACAGACTGGATTTCTGATAAATTAGAAAGAACTTTCACTTTTCCTTCCTTCCAAGATAAATCAGCAGTTGTTTGGTGAATTGAAATTGAAATTCCACAGTCAGGCAAGTCATGCTCAGCTAACTTTTTGCTACTTGAAACATCAGAGTTTCCTACAGAACTGTCCACATTACCACTGATCCTGGACTTGTGAAGAATTATAGCCACTGACTTGATTTTGAAGGTCCCATTAATTGAAAATAGGGAATTGCTATAATTCAAGGGAGCTCCATGTGCAGTTGTCTCCACATTCTCAGGTTCAGAAATTGCAAATTCTTGCTTCGCAAACTTAAAAGGCAAGTAACTAATAGACCCAAAACTGCTAAATGAATATGATATCGCAGAAGATAAATTTTCAAGCACCTGTCAGAAAGAAAAATGGTATGAATGAAATCAACATATATCACAGACAAGTATTGACCCAATAATTCAAAAACTCATCCAGCTCCCAAATTATGGGTCCTTCGGAATAACAGTAATCATCATCACAAATACAAACAACAGCAAGAAGGCAGCAGTTGACGAGGTGCAACGAAACAACAGTGACAACAAGAATACTACTTTAACAGGACTAAGGTACAAAAGGAACCTGAAAGCAACAAAAATAATGTTACTAACGAAATCGAACTTGAACACAAGAAAGATACCTCAACATACCCAACATCAAAATAGTCTCCTAATTAAGTAAAGGTGACCCGTCTATAATTTTATTTTACTTTTAAAGACAAACGAAGTCTAAAATGGGTACATTCAGTATAAAAAAAAACTAGGAAAACTGTATAATAATCAGTTCTAAACAAATATTCACAAACATTAATATCAAGACTAAAAACACAAATTTATTAGTAAGCAGCAAACAAGCACAATCACCTGAAAGAAAACATAAAACTCATCTGCATAAGATAAAATAGTGAATCCTTCAGCTGTCCCACACAAAGCTGCTGAGAAAGCAATAACACTTGTGCTAAATGAATGAACATACTCCCTGCACAACAAAATAATTCACTATCATGACAAGACAGATAATTTAGTCAGCAGGCTATGCAATTGTATTCTCTTCTGGATGTGATGGGTGGGGGAAATACAGGAAGAAGGTTCTCTGTTTCACCACATTTCTTATGATCTTCAAAAGTCTCACATACAAGGAAAGGAAAGTAAAGAAAAAAAGTAAAAAGCATTTTCACCTTTAGAAGAATTCGAAACATTAAGAAAATATTAAAAGAGGAAGAAGAAAAAACAAGACAACGTTCGTATAAATAAAATCCTCAATGCACTTCAGAATTTAATGAAATTGATATACTAATAAAGAATGTGAAAACCTTAGATTACCACCGGTGAACAAAAGATTTAGCCTAAGAAAATTCATAAATAAATAAAAACCATAGGAATTCACCTTCTCTGTGTGAAGGATTTAGAGAATATAAAATATTAATGGAAAATAAGCTGTAAAGTTCAATAGAGCAACCATCAAAAACCTCTCTGAAAAAATTGGATAAAAGAGTGTGTGAGATAAAGCTATCAAAGCTCCAGGAGAACAAATATAACGAGAAACGAAGCAATAAAATCCTACCTGAAGGATAACAAACGCACAGTGATTGGCTTCAAACCTAAAATTTGGCTTTGTCTTTTTCCTGCCGAGTCGACCAGGTAAGCCTCTAAACCACCAACTCGTAAGTAAGAACCAAGAGAAATCCACTCCCGACATTGATACTTCCCACTATCTGATTTAAACATATCGACTATTAGAGGCTGCTCCAACCTGAGGCACTCTGGTTCTATATCATCAGGTCCTGAGGGCGCCACAAATGATTCCATATCAAATTGGGAAGTTGGCCAAACTGCAGCTTCAATGTTGCAAAAATCAAATGCAAGGTGAAATTCCTCCTGACCAACTTCATGGTTTATGTCTTTGTTTCCAACATCAAAATTCTTTCCCAATGAAATATGAATGTGAGGACCAGCTGCAAATATCCCTAGTTGAATATGTTTCTCTGGAAGTATCTTAAGCAATGTCATTTCTAATTTACTCGCATAGCACTTGTATTTGTTATCCTCACTAGCTCTTGGAGAATGTGACAGAACCCCTGATTGACTATTGTCCTCTGTCCAGAATAGAGCATGCTGTATTTGCTTAAGGAGCAGAGATATTGATAGTATCGACGAACATCCCAAAACTATGTTCAACTTTCCTAGAGTCAAAAAGAATTTCAAAAACCCAGAATCTGAATTTTTGAGGTCTGGATATGTCAAGAAGTTTTTAATTTCACACAGAAGGAATGGATTTTCAAAGTACTGGATCTCACTTTTTTCAAATTCCTTGCAAGCTGTGTTCCAGTTCAACCACATGTCTCCAAGATAATTTTTCAGAAGTGAGAGACAAGCACCTTCCACATGATCGACATAACCAGTTTTGTAAGTTTCTGAAAGGGGAAAATTTTGTGCTGGCTCAGCCCACAAAATATTCTTCAAATCATCATTACTCTCCTTCCAATGTGCTTCCATAGAACTAAAATATGATTTTGAGCTACTTTCCTTAACAGTAGCTTCCAAAAGAGACGAGGATCTAACCTTTAACTGCCCACAGGATATAAGTACAGACTGTTCACACGTGTTTTCTACATATTTTAACAACAGTGAATCAACTGAAAGACGAAATGAAAGGAAATCCGAGCAAGAGGTCCCAATATGGGATTCTAATTTCTCATTTACTGCAAGTTGAATTTCATTTATATGAGAAATAGTGATTAGAACATTTCCAAGGATCAAAATGAAGCAAAACTCTGTACATGGACCTCCAGAAACAGTCTTCAAATTCGCTTTTTTTGGCTCTTTGGCCAATACTTTCCTAAAAGTTAACAAGCGTATGATAAAGTGGATTATCTTGCACAAAACTCTCCAGGTAGAGGCTAGTATGAAAAGGATCTTGAGAAGGAAGTTGAAGTGAAATGTCACAAATGATTTTCTTAAACCATCTTTGGCACATTGAACATTTGATGCTGCTCTATGACGCGCTATTCTCCACGCCTGTGCAATAGCTTCAGCAGGCAACTCTTTCTCAATATCAGAAATCACCTTCATTTGGTTTTTAACAGAACTGAAAAACATCTTGTCCTGTGAAATTCTAGTAGCTGATCTCTTCAATGAGTGGTCATCAGAATATCCAATTAGTAACAGTAAATGCTCATAAGCATTAACATAACGTAGCCATAAACAAACAACAACAACTAATTTTTGCAACGACCATCTAGGGCCTGAAGTCACATTGTCAATTTTGCTTGCAGCTAGTTTCCATAGTTGCACAGCATTTCTTGAACAATGAGATTCTTGTGATGATGCTTTACCAAATGCTGAATAGAAGAAAATATCATCTGGAGAAAATGAAAAACGTAATTCTGGAATTCCAAGACTTATGTCCACAAGCTGAAGGTCATTCAATTTAATGCAAGTGCACAAATCAGACAATAACAAGACGTGTTTGAGCTGATCTGCCCTCTTAAACCCAACCTCAAAACCACTGCCCACTAGAGTAAAAGAGATCTCTTTCAAAGGTAGAAAGAGTGCACTAAATAGGCCTCGAAGAAGACACCCATGATCAAGATACTGAGGATCTGCATTAATATCTTTTAAATTCAACAAACAAACAAGTGAATCATTTAAGATGGGAACCTGCACTTGCACATTGATGTCATGCATTCGAAGCTGGCAGTGTTTAAGTATCAGATTGCTAAGGGTTGTCCTAAAGTTATTTGTTGAAGGAGAAGTGGCCAAGAGCTTTTCGAGAACACCACGCAAAGCACTACCCTGAATTCCAGTGAAAAGCCTTAGGGGTTGTATTGGAGATTAACGGTTCATCAGTCAAGTAAGCAAACAAGTTTTCACCTATCTACATGTGATAAGAGCGAAAATTTGAGATTAAAAACACTAACAACAACAATGCCTACCTCAGGATCAATCTCAGAAAGCTTCTTCTTCATATCTTCTGCAAATTTATCCCTCGGTTTCGGCCTACGTTCTACATTTCTCTCTTCCATCAATTCCCTTTCAATATGAAAAAAAAGGAAAAATCAAGCTCGCAAAAACCAAACAATGCAAAGAAGAAAAATAAAAATTGAACACAAGCGGGCAAGCAGGAACAGTGACTTACCCAGGTGATAGTGTCACAGTGACGCCTTGAAATTCGATTGAAAAGGCAGGGACGAACCAGTTCGAGAACCGAACGGTTAAGTGTTCGACAGTGACCTCTTTGAAGGAAAACTGGAACGATTCGTCGAAGAGCTGGTTGAGAACCGAAGTATCGAAGCGGAGGTTCTTGGCGACCGCATGGGAATTGAGAAGCCCTAATTTGAGTTCGAGGTCGGGCTCTTCTCGAAGCCATGGCCGTAGCAGAGAGGCTAGCTTCCGTCGGGTTACGTTGTTCAGGAACATCTGTGATTATGTTGTTATCTGACTCCAGGAGATGAGTGCTTTAGGGTAATCGTAGTTTCGCCATTAGAGAATTCGGAATTTTCTCGAGAAACAAACGGAAAATATTTGGCCTAACAAGGTGAAGTGAAGATTGTCGATGAGAGGTGCGAGTGTATCGGCGGGAAATTGAACAGAATCGGACAGCTTCTTCTTTATAGTCAGTTGGGCTTGGGCTTACTCGGAACCGGCTAGTAAATCAAACTTGCCTTGATAAAAAAGAAAATTTATTATAATTAAGAAAAAATAATATATTTTTTTTTGTCCATTGTGATAAAATCTTATTATTCTTTTATTTTTATATTATAATAATTATTTTTTTGGTGAAATTTTTTGTAATTACTTTGAATACTCATCTAAGTATATCTATATATATAAAGGAAAAGACAGAGAATAGTGAAACATTTAAAATACCAAAAAATACCTTTGGTTAATTCAAACATTAAGAATTGAAAAGGAGTGTAAGTGGATAAAATAGGAGAAAAAGGAGTGGGGAAATCACCACTCTTGAAATTATTAATTAAATAAGTATAATATAGTAAATTTATATTTTTTCATATTAAAAAAAATCATATAATAGGTCATACTTTTATGGAACATAACTACCCATGTTATCTTTTTTTAATTTTAAAAATAAAATAAAAAAATAAAACCAATGGCACATGCTCACGCAACATAGATGCTCGTGTTTGCTCTAATAATAATAAATGTAAGGTTCAATATGGAAATCTCAATCAATAAGCAATTTTCTTCCTTAATTAGGTATACATATCCCTCCAATAACTAATCATAGACACTATTTGTTCACCCGTTTGGTGTTTACTCTTGAGATGGAATGGCAAAGTTCCCCACTGCCTTGGAAACCATTGACTGGTCAACAAGTCAGCTTTCTTTGGTGTATGAGCGTGTCACTGTTAGCAATGAAGATTCTAGCAGACTTCTTCTAGAATAGATAACTTGCGCCCCAAGTTACTGATCTCTAAAACAAACGATTGTGAATTTGGGTGAGGAACATCTTCCAAGTAAGTTCTTTTCTTACCTCAGACTGGTGAAGACTTTCATAATTTATCTCAATATAAAAACGGTTGTTCTGGCCAAAATACTTGATAAGAAATTGGATTGTTTTAGGCAGAATTGCCTTTTACAAAACTATGAATAAACATATCAACACTAGAGAAACAAAAAGACAGTTGGAACTCCATTTTCTGCTTAGGTGAAAGACTCTGATCCAGGCTGGACTTGATATATCTGGGCTGAACTGGACTATTAACAACTTCAACTGCTCAGCTTTAGTTGTAAATCGATACCAAAGTCCAATTTTGGCAGAGCTTTAATCTACTTCAAACTTTGTAAGGCTTTTGAGTTGGTAGAACTGCGGCTTCTTTAGTCTGAAGGGGGACAAGTGGCTGCTCTTGAGGACTTAGTGAGCTTGGGACTGCACTGTGAGATTTGTTGAGGTTTTCATGTTTGGAAAAAAAACCTTAAACTCTGCTTGTCTTGGCTTTTGCTGAACCAAATTTGTAACGAGAAAGATCTCGTTTTAAATGACTTATTTTCTAAGTCTGAACTTTGGGAATTTTGATCTAAAGCTGGTTTCTCTTGGAGTTCGAGTGAGCTTTTGGTTGATTTCTTGTTGTTTGTTTGATTGATGAATTGTCTGTTTTCTTTGCCATGTTCACTCCTTCTTATATTTACAAGAAATGCTTAAGAGTGGGGTTTTTTTTCTTAAAATAATGGGCGGCAAGTCTTTTCAAAAGGATCTACAAAGAAATTCAGGAGAGAGGAAAGGATTTTAATTCTGTCAGATAGGCTTTCATCAATCAGTTCTTAAGATCACTTCTCTGTTTTTTTCTTTAAAAGAAAACCTAGTCCTTTTTCCCAATTTAACTGGCCCTTGTGAGATTTCAACTGTGATAGTTAGTTTGATTTCTTCAGTTTGAACAACTCCCTGCTTTCCTGCTTATTTCTTTATGAGATTGAAGTTTGCTTATCTATTGGGAGAATCACCTTCTCTGGAATGAAGAAAAAAGAAAATATATATATATATATATAAGAGGGATTTGATCTTCAGTATTTTTAGAGATGTCCCTTCCCAGTTTGCCAGCCACTGACCCTTTCTTTTAAATTCCCAATCAACTATGTGATAGTTGATTTTGTTGATTTTGTTGATTTTTCAAAGTCTGAGAAGAAAGGTTTCACGTGGATTTTTGAGAAATTGCTACCGGGCCTTTTTGAGAGATGGTAACAGGTTGGGCCCAATCCAAATTTTCTATTTGATCTGTCTAAAACGTAACTGCCATCCCTGTGGCCATTTTTATTCCTATCACTTTTGAAAAAGACGTGGGCTGGGCTTTTTCTCTCTCCCGATCCGATAATTTGAAGCCCGATTTTGGTTTCATGGGCCTTTGAGAAGTGGGATGTGTATGTGTCAAATTAGGCCCAAACACTATTGTTTTGGGCTCTATCGTTATTAGATTAGGGCTCTTGTTCGTTCGTTGGAGAATATTTGATATATTTATTCAAAAATTCATTTTAACATGACATATGATAAAAAATTTAAAAAAAAAACAAAAAAAAAACTCCTATTTTTAGCATATTTTTAGCATGACTCTACGTTTTTCCCTATTTGCCACATATATCCTATTTTTATCCAGCACTTTTCCCACAATAATGATCCAAGCACGAAGATGGCGGACCAATTTTGGTCCATTGACCAAGTCAAAGGCCAACTTCCACTTTTACCTTTTTCTTCTTAACCGCCCTTTTTTCTGTTGCTCCCGTTCCTGGTGGCGGGTATTATCCAAAATTAGATTTACGACCTAAGCCAACTTGTTGCCACCTAAGCTCCTTAGGACACAACATTAATTTTTACTACCACAAATCATACAACAGTCCTACGTGGCGTCACCTGATTGGCCAGCTCCTCATCCACAATTACCACGCCACAAAATATTCGGGCTCAAACGTGCGCAGCAAATCCAATTTTTTCCCTTCGATTTTTTAACTAAAAACTGAAAAAACAGCAAAAAAAGGAAAATCCCAGGCTGTTGCTATTCCCAGGCTGTTGCTATTCCTCAGATTTCAAAGCTGTCGGCTTCCTTCACACCTGGTTTTTCCTCTTTATTATTTTATTTCACCCTATATGTAAAGCATGAAAGGCTCATCAAGAGGTAACCGCATATTCTCCGAAGAGAACAGCATTCGTGGCCAGAAGTTCGACAAGTTGCAGAACTCCCCAGAGCATAACGACTCCACTTTTACGATCAGTAGCCCCCCAGACTACGGCCCGGATTACTTAATGGGCGCAGAGGAGGCGGCCCCAGCGTCTCCTCTCAAAAAGTCCCCGTGGTCCGCCCACATGAACATTAGTGACGACAAGAATAATAGTAACGACTCTTCAGACGAGAGCTTCTCGCCCAACGTGCTCATGGGCTCGTTGGTGCGCGAAGAAGGGCACATATATTCGTTGGCCTCCTCTGGAGACTTATTGTACACGGGTTCAGATAGTAAGAACATTCGGATTTGGAAGAAGCACCACGAGTATTCGGGGTTCAAGTCGAATAGCGGCCTGGTAAAAGCGATCATCATAGCTAGGGAGAAGATTTTCACCGGTCATCAAGATGGGAAAATTAGGGTTTGGAAGGTGTCCTCCAAGAATGCAAGCCATCACAGGCGGATAGGAACTTTGCCAACGTTGAAGAATTACATAAAGTGTTCCATGAATCCAAGTAATTACGTGGAAGTGAAACGCAATAGTAAAATCCTATGGATCAAGCACTTTGATTCCATCTCATGCTTGAGCTTGAGCGAAGATCAGACGTTACTTTACTCGGCCTCCTGGGACAAAACGTTTAAGGTTTGGAGGGTTTCAGATTTCAAGTGCTTAGAGTCAATTACCGCTCATGACGATGCAGTTAATGCCTTGGTTGTTGGATTCGATGGATTGGTCTTCACCGGATCCGCTGATGGAACGGTGAAGATTTGGCGAAAAGAGTTACAAGGAAAAGGGACAAAGCACTTCTTCTCACAAACCCTTTTAAAGCAAGAATGCGCGGTCACAGCATTGGCTGTGAACTCGAACGCCACGATCATTTATTGTGGATCGTCCGATGGGCTAGTCAACTTTTGGGAACGGGAGAAGAACCTCCAACACGGCGGAGTTTTGAGAGGACATAAGTTGGCGGTTCTTTGCCTGGCCACGGCCGGGTGCTTGGTATTCAGCGGCTCCGCAGACATGGGGATTTGCGTATGGAGAAGAGTAGATGGGGACCACATTTGCTTGTCGGTGCTGACGGGGCACACTGGGCCGGTGAAGTGCTTGGCCGTGGAGAGAGATAATGAGAACTCAACATCCGGAGAGAAAAGGTGGACAGTGTACAGTGGGAGTTTGGACAAGTCGGTGAAGATGTGGAGGGTTTCAGAGCAAGCACCGCCGATGGTTCCGAATCAGAAGCACCAACATTACACATCGGATGGATATTGTGTGCCAATGTTGAGCGCGGCGCCTAGCTTTTCTTCTCGTGGAGGGAAAATGGGTTCAAGAAGATTTTAAGGTTTGATTTATGTATGACCAATTTATTATGATGGTGTTTGCGTGCATGTGATCAATGGATGTGACTTTGTGCATGCTTATAACATGTTCGTCGATAGAAGGTTTGGCTCGGTGGGTTTGTAAAGCTAAATTTTTAGGGCATGAGTGGGATGCCAAATTCACCACTTGTTGATCTTGAGGTCACAAATTAACAATAACATATATACTGTGTCTGAATGATTTATTTGCGTAGCTATACATTTTAATTATGTTTTCGATTCTACATGTGTTTTGTTGGTCGTCTTTCATTAAATTCTATCGACTTTATAATGATGATTAAGACTTCACACCATCTTTGATTCCTATATAAATGCTTCGTTGGTATTGAAACTAACGAATGTGAATCACCAAAAGTCTTCTCATACTCGTGACAATATGGCAGATCTTAGAATATCTTACTTAATATTTAGTAATTTTCGATGGGTATGATATATTTAGGTTAGGTGTGAGGAATTTCTCTCTCTCTCTCTCTCTGCTACAACTTGCAAGCAACCTGCCTTTGAATTTAACTTTTGGTGGTT